TTGGCAGCCTCTAGAGGTAAGAATAAACAAATTTTTATGAAATTAGAGCTTTGCAAGACATGACACATGCCTGTAATCCCAGCACTCAGGAGACAGGCAGGATGACTGCTGCAAGTTAGAGGCCAGCCTGGGCTACAAAAATAATTTCAAGGTCAACCTAAACTGCATAGCAAAACTCTGTCTCAACAAATAAACAAATAAATAAATAAATAAATACAATGGAATAAAAACAAAGTTTTATAAAAGGAGAGGTAAAGGGGGGGTAAGGGAGAGGTAAAAATGACTGAAGGGAAGGAAATGAGAAAAAAAATGTACAGGTACAAATTCCCTCTGATGAAGGTGATCATTATATATGCCACAAGTGTACTAATAATTTGGTTCTTTAAAAGTATCAATGAAAGGGCTGGGGACATAGCCCGATGGTCTAAGCATCAGCCTGTCAAGCGCCAGGACCCAGATTTGATCCTCAGTACTGCATGCCATGCCAGCCCCTCTCTGGGCGCAACAAGGTGAGCCCCCAAAGCCAGGCATGGTGGCATACAGCTGTAATTCCAGCACTAGGGAGGCTGAGACAGGAGGATCACTATGAGTCTGAGCTGTATAGCAGAGACCCTGTACCAAATAAATAAATGAAAAACAAATCAATGAGAAGGCACCTTATGTACTGCCTGCCTGTAATCCTAACACTAAGGAATGCTGAAACAGGTAGACTGCAAATTCCAGTTCCACCTGGACAATACCTCAAAAATATAAAAGACCAGATAATGACACAGGCCTACGCGGGAGGCTGAGGAAGGGGGATCGACTTGCGTTCAAGGCCAACCTAGCTACATAATAAGATCTTGTCTCAAGAAAAACACAAATTGTACCACTTGAGAGGCTGAGGCAGGAGGATTGCTACAAATTTGAGGCCAGTGTTGGCTATATAGTGAGTTCAGGACCAGTCTGAACTACGTAAGGAGGCCCAGACTCAAAAAGAAAAAGAAAAAAAAAAAAGGAAAACATACATAATAAATAAGATGTAGCTTAATAGTACAACACCTCTGGATTTGATACCCAGTACCAGTTAAAAATGAAAACACAAGCTGGATATGGTGGCACATGCCTGTAATCCAGTACTTGAGTTAGAAGGACGGCTGTGTACTTGAGGCCATCTTAGGTCACATAAGTGAGTTCAAGGTCAACCTGTACTAAATAGTGAGATCCTGTCCCACAAAAAATAAATAAATAGGGGCTGGTGAGATGGCTCAGTGGTCTAAAGCACCTACTTAGAACAAGCTTAGCAAAGCACAGGGACCGCGGT